ATCTTGCTGTTTTTCCCGATCCCTTCCTATCCACATAACTTCAGTCTTTTCTTTGTTAATTTCTAGACCAGAACATTTTCCAAATTTTTCAACTAAATTTAAAGCATTATTTGTTGACTCCTGATCATTCAAAAATATGGTAGTGTCATCAGCATACTGACAAAGTTTGACTTCACATTCATCTTTAATTGGAATTCCTTTTATGCTGTTATTTCATTATGATATACTATTGAATCTGCTATGTAACAAATGCGCCGGGTGTGTGAGTAGCATGGTGTTACTTCTCGAAGACAGTTTGGCCAGAGAGTAGTAACATACATACATGCTAAAGGTGGGCAGTCCCATAACTAAAAATAAAAACAGAAGTTCATGTCAAAACAAACACGTCAGGCCAGGGTAAAACAATTCAAATAACACACTTTTATAGAGTATAAAGATTTGCATTATTGTTGCTGTGAGCGTAACGGACTCAACTTTAGTGAAGGTAATGAAAAGCCACAATGTCCTATCGCTGTGGGTTGTTTCTATCAGATGTATTTTTATACATTAAATCTTATTTTATTAATCTCCTTTTTACAAAATTTTCATTTTTACGAAGTTTGAGTTCCCGTTCTCGATACCCCTCCCCCTTGTACTAAGAGTCCGTTAAAATGAAAAGGACTGCATGTAATTTAATAATAATGAACAGTCACGCTAACTTAGTACCCCTGACACGTGAATGATGCAGTCATATTTTTACTTTATGTTTGCAATGGAACAACTATTCTTATTGAAATTTTCAAGATTTATTCTACAGACAATTTCAAACATGGAAAATAAATATATATATACTTCATTGTCAATAAAATCCAGGTTTTTGCTTGAACAATTGAACTTTTAACGTCATTTCAAATATTGTAGGCCGCCTAAAGTCTTTCCAGATATATTTGTTGCCATATTAACAATTATGGCTGATAATATACAAATAGTGACTGCCATTGAGGGCAATAGTGTAAATTATTTCCCCGAGGGAATATCCTCTACAATGTAATATTCCCGAAGCCGCAGGCTGAGGGAATAGTACATTGTAGAGGATATTCCCAAGGGGAAATCATTTACACTATTGCTCGAAATTAGGCAGTCACTATTTGTTTTATTATATACCCTATACTGACTCTTGTCCCGTTTCCTTTGCGAAGACCAAAAAGGCTTAGAAAGCCCCCTCCCCGGGCCCATTGTTAGCATTATAAGCTCTGACGTCATCAGATGCTCAACAGAAATTTTTGCCTCTGAGACTCTCACTTAACAAATTCAATCGCGTTTAACACGCGGAATAGATTATCATAACACTTGAAATTACACAGACGTATTAAGCTTAGGGAACTTTATACACGTTGCTTATACTGTATCGTTCACGCACGTCTGTCATGGTGAACGGAGTGGACTTGTGTTTGTGCTCATCCTCCATTTTTCTGTTTTTTGTCTGCGCAGTGATGATGCGCAGACGTTTCCAAGGGTAATAGAAGTTGCAATCGTGACGTCAGCGGGCAATAGTTCAAATGTATATTCCCGCTGACGTCACATTTGAGGGAATATAACTTTCCGAGGGAAATAGTAAATCTATTTCGGAACACGTGACTAGGTATTGACCAATCAGGATTAGTGTTACATATTGGGTATATAATAATTGACTTTAGTCATATTCAATATAATTACAGTGCATTAGGCCAATAAAAACTTGTTGCCCTGGGTCTCGTTTTGTGAAGCGTTCCCTAGATTAAAACCAGGTAGAGGAGGTCAATCTTCTTGTCAACTGACACGAGTTCAACCCTATCGAACTGTTCAATGCAATACTGTCCAAAATGAAGTTAAACATTACGAATCTCCAACTTCAAGTATTCCCAGCATTAGATTCTTCAGAGATGTTAGTATATAGCTGTGTTAAATTATGTCATGAAATTGTCAAGGAAACCTGACACATTCAAAGCAAGGTACAATTTACATGCCACAGGGTTGCAATCTGAGTGATGGTGGTGGAAAAGCCCAGTGGAGAAAAAGTGCTTTATCAGAGGAAATGAGACCCAGAGTGACAAGTTTTTCATTGGCCCAATGCACTGTAATAATATTCTTGAATATGACAAAAAGGAACAACAATAATTAGCCATAATTAATATGGCATCAAATATATCTGGAAAGACTTTAGGCGGCCAACAATTCAAAAGCTAGACAATCTCTGAAATGACGTTAAAAGTTCAATTGTTCAAGCAAAAACCTGTATTTTATTGACAGTGGAGTGTTTTCGAAAACCTGTCCGGGGTACTATGAATTCTTGATAATCATTTGGCGAATAGATATTTATAAACGATACAAAAAATAAAAAGTCCGAGTACTCTACTGGTGTCAGGCCGTGTGCAACAACAGGGTAGGTGACTTTTCTGAATTGTAATCCAATTGAAATCTGATCATGACTATGTAATCTTAATTCTCAGTTCATACATGATCACAATAATCTTCTGATCACTGCAGGCCCGTAGTCAGGATTTGCCAAGGTCCTTGAAAAGTGCTCAAAATGGTGAAAAACTGCATGATTTTGGCCAGGGGGAGCGAACCCATCGAACCCCCCCCCCCCCTTGTTCTAATACATGCACCTAGTTTATCTAGTGCCAATACTATCTCAGAATTTGGTCTTGGGCACATATAATAGAAGTTTACATTATAATTCAAAAGTCGAAAATTTTCGGCACTAGCCAGCCACATAATTCTTACCTCAATTGATTCTGAACACCACCCAAAAAAGTTGCGACTGCATCTAGTGTCAGTCTCTAAGAAGGTCTCTCGAGGTCAGAACCTTGGTACAAGATAACCACGTCGTGCAATCTTGATTCACAGGGTAATTATATCATCACTTCCCGGATCTCTTCCAACTTCTACAATCATCTTGTAACCAGAAGATGCAGACTGTGCAATGCTTCTCGACATGTGCAATCAGACCCTTAGCTATAGTCTTACATACACACCCGGACACATGTGCCATCAGACCATAAGTTTTACATGCCCACCCGGACACATGTGCCATCAGACCTCAAGTCTTACATGCACACCCGGGCACATGTGCCATCAGACCCCAACTCTTACATGCACACCCGGACACATGTGCCATCAGACCCCAAGTCTTACATGCACACTCGGGCACATGTGCCATCAGACCATAAGTCTTACATGCACACCCGGGCACATGTGCCATCAGACCCCAACTCTTACATGCACACCCGGACACATGTACCATCAGACCCCAAGTCTTACATGCACACTCGGGCACATGTGCCATCAGACCATAAGTCTTACATGCACACTCGGGCACATGTGCCATCAGATCCCAAGTCTTACATGCACACCCGGGCACATGTGCCATCAGACCCCAAGTCTTACATGCACACTCGGGCACATGTGCCATAAGATCCCAAGCCTTACATGCACACCCGGGCACATGTGCCATCAGACCATAAGTCTTACATGCACACCCGGGCACATGTGCCATCAGACCCCAACTCTTACATGCACACCCGGACACATGTGCCATCAGACCCCAAGTCTTACATGCACACTCGGGCACATGTGCCATCAGACCATAAGTCTTGCATGCACACTCGGGCACATGTGCCATCAGATCCCAAGTCTTACATGCACACTCGGGCACATGTGCCATCAGACCCCAAGTCTTTCATGCACACTCGGGCACATGTGCCATCAGATCCCAAGTCTTACATGCACACCCGGGCATGCACAACGATCCCCCAAAATATTTAGCCGTTCTCAACCCCAAGACATGGGGAAATGGTTTGTTGGACTTGGCACAAGACCATTTCGGACATGGGTGAGCTTAGGCTAGCTTGTTCTACTTTAGTGTTTTCCAGCTTAAAATGCACGATTCTGATTGACCAAAGAGCGGTAAATAAATTTAACTATTGCCCATGCAATATCTACAAATTGACATCGATATTTTTCCATTTGGCGTCGGTTTTAAATGTCAGAACACCGTTTAAATAGCCAACCTCTTGACCACTTTCGGGTTTAATATCTGTACGGGGGTGCAGTCAATGCATGTAGAAGTGTTACCCATGCCCTTGGGTGTAGCCTCTGGGGTGGATTCAAGGCTGAAAATAAACACCTATAAAGAATCTTGGCACCCGGGTCTTTTCATATTTACAATGGCTTTTTCATTCAGTCTATTTCGTGTACAATTCACCAACCGAGCAAGTATGTTATTATGGTATAGTATTTCTTTGGTAGTTGTAAGACATTAATGGGGGGGGGGTAATGAGTAGGACGAGCCAAAAAATGATATAATTTAAACAAATGGCTAAAGAAATAAGAAAATGGAGCAATCAAAACAATTTTTGTTTAAAACAAGTCTTTGAACCATGTTCAATAATGTTGTTTGTCTTTGTCAATATAAATATACCACTTGAATTATGTGGACGATTGCATGTCAGTGCATCATATATTTATTAATTTACATGACTATAACAAGAGAATCTATAGTTTAACTCATATTCCAAACGTCGAACAGTTTAAGCTTGTCTAAAAATGTATCAAAAATCTAATAATTCACACAACCCAACGGTTTACCTTGTATTATCGGTTGAGGGTATAGAGTGTAATAGGCGTTAATAGGGCGTTTAATTGCTATTATTCGAAAACCACTCACAACAATTATTGGATAAAAGAAAAACACATGTAATGTACTTATTGTAAACACCTAAGTAAACATATTGAAAGACGGAGCAATCATCAAACATAGTGTAATTGTCGGCTTTTCAATGGGGGCCCTAATTTACTCGATTATCAGCCCAGTATGTGGCTAATAGAGTAATATACTGTAGTAATTATGTTATTGTCAGGCGTTTAGCCGAGTCTTTCGTCTGGCTTCTTGTCGCCAGTGTCTCGCAAGCTTTAGGAGTTTGGGCAAACTTAGCCAATTACGCACCTTTGACTTGAATAGGTACATGGGCCCCCACTGTGCTAAACACAGTAAAGGTTTTGTTTGCCTCTGCAACTCGTGATCGGGATGTCTGAGCTTACTATTCCGAGGCGCCAGCGACGGGCAAAACCCGGGCAGATTTGTCTAGAAGCTCGACACCTAATATAAGTTTTAACAAGCTTTTCAGCAATAATTAATATGAGTGAGTATTGTGTGATCTATGTCATTTCTGGCATTTCACATCTCATCGTCGAAGTAGCAACACGCCTGAGACATAAAAACAAAATAAAAAACAAATATAACACATCGGAAAAACAGGAAGCACCTTTCATAGAAGGTTACTAAAATGGCGACTGGAAAATATACGTCGTTTTCGATTGATGCGATTCTTGGCTTGCGATCCAAAGTGGAGGATGCAAAGGATGCACAGGGTGAAGGTGATGCAACTGTCTCTCAGAAACGAGAGTCTGTTCATCCAGCCTATACTCATCTTCTGGACCAAACAACTACAGTTTCTAGAACACTGGGTAAGTGTCAAATCTATACATCATTTTATGTTTACAACGTATTTTATCAGAGACACATAATGCGAACTGGCGACTTGGGTTTTGTGAATATGTTCGAGTTCTACATTTGTTTAATTATTCATTTACTGTTGTTGTTTGCATTGTTTATTTATGTTTTGTTGACTCTTTGAAACATGGAAATAACATTCTAGTTTGCTTGATTAAAGTTCCTGGTCCTGCAAACATATCCATTTCTTGAATTTTTGGTATTGCTGATTTACCACAAGTTATTATCGAAAAAATGTACGAACTGATATTATGCTTATTTCGGTTAAAACACACCCGCTGAAAACCATAACACGAATGACATTCCATATCATTGTAAAGATGGTAACCGCAGATATTTTAATCATTTATGTTTTTATATTCCAGACAATAGCAGCTATGTTAGTGAGCGACAGGTGCGAGCTGACAACACCTCCCCTACCCCCTCTCTCAACAGTATTGGAGAATCCGACCACGATAGTCTCGCAAGTTATGCTGCAGACTCTGACACCGACTCAAACGGCGATACTCTCAATGAAAATGTTGACAATAGCGATAAGAAAAAGAAAAACCGAACTGTATTCTCAAGGCGTCAGATTATTACCATGGAGACTGCTTTCAACAGTAAACGATATTTATCCACCCCCGAGAGGAACGCTCTGGCCCGGAGTCTAAACCTCAGTGACACACAAGTGAAAATATGGTTCCAAAACAGAAGAAATAAATGGAAGAAAATCGCAAACAGCTCCCCAGAAACTGATATCTATCAGCGCCAGCTAGTAGCGCTCCAAGACACTAGACTTGGATACAATCTATCAAGTGCCACATACCCTCCCACTCTTCAGCACATGCCACACATTCAACAGCCATTACCATCTGTAGGTTGCAAAACGACTTATGTTGGGTCAAACATTGCGTCAATGACATCACATGTACCACATATGACGCCCACTATTCATGCGATATCATCAGCGCCATCTAGTATTTCGATGGGACACTACGCAAGTACTTTATCGACTGGACACTCAGTGTTTGCTACTGGGAAACATGGTTTGCACTTACAACAACAATCTAATCTTATACGACGGACTTCTTTTTATTAAAACAAAATAAAGTGGATACTCGTACTCAAAATAAGATTATTCGAAGTTTTTGATGTGAAAAACTGTTAAAGAATAAATAAACAGACTAGATCATATTTAATTCATGCATTGCAATTTCTAATCATCGATCAATTACAAAAAATGTAATATCTAGCATGTGATTGTTACATATTGGATAATTAGTCAAACTGTGAATTTCTAATTACATGCGAATATCAGCAGGCGTTTAAATACACGAATTAAAACTCAATTAACATATGTTGTTCTTTTTGTTACCAATATGCAATCCTTTTCCATAGCCAGTGGGATTGCCCGTGCTCAGGTGCTCCAGTCCCTATTATTCCCGCATAAAAATGGATTTCATCCAACACAAGCTGACCAGTACATTCAATTTAATTTGTCCTTTGAGAATTTTTGTGGGTCAAAGTGACATCAAATGCAAAATTAGCCTTGTACTCTGCTTTTGACCCCATCTAACTATTTCCATCATATTGTATTGAAGGTTGAACAGTTGAACTTCACTTAAACATTTATGATTAACATTTATTTAATTTACATTTTTTACTTCCAACTACCACGTTCAAAGTATACAAGATCGATGTCCTCGCAATGAGCACATTTTCAGGGGTAGAGTTCATCCATTCGAGAGAAAGATATGCAGTTATGAGCAGTGCCTCGGGATTTCAAAAATGCTTCCTGTACATATTCCAAGAAAACAATTTTGTTTATTTTTCATGTATAATTTCTAGAAACAACTCATAAAACATGATTATTATGCAAGCATGTTGATTATATAATACAAAATTGATTTATATAGAAAACCTGTAGATTGTACCATACATTTAATCAGTTAACGATTTATTTGTAAACTTTCTCGTGAAAAAATAAATCTTGGAGATTTGTTAAATTTTCTAGCAGATATCGGCCACTCCCCTTCCCCCGTTCATTTTTTCGATTCCAAGGGCCGGGAAGAGTCACCCATTCAGTTGAAAATACGAGAATGGGCGGAAGGCATTACTTCTAAAAGAGAATCCATTGCCTTTGTTTAACCCCAATTCACTGTTGTAATTAGTTACGGGAGGAACACACCAGTTGGCATGACAATTTCACCGACTTTACTTAAATCGAGACTGATATACAAATTATGGTTCACTATAGTGAAGTATACCATGCTTCATGCAGGGAATGAATATGGTGTAGATGGGGTAGTTCAGTTCTCGACCTATGTCTTCATTATGAATAGTTTTGAGCAACATCTAATAGACTTTGTCTAATAAAATCATCTGTGGAGACATCTTCATCATCGTTTTGTGTATCGATGTTCCTCGTCCTAATATAGGGTATTAACATACTTATGCCGCTTAGAGCAATCACAGTTCCACCGAGATAGAAAGATCCGGCGTATTGTTGGGTTCGGTCAAACATCATTCCTGCTATCGGTGCCCCTGGTAAAATACCCGCTGCACAACATATACATAGAAGTCCATATCCCGTCGAAAGGTCTTTCTGACCCAAGAATTTACGCACGATCTCTGGAGCGAATACTCCAAAAGCAGCGCTACACATTCCAAAAACGACTGCAAACGATACTAATAAAGGATACACATTCTGTAGCGGAACTGTCAACATTAATAAACCAGTTATTGCAAATGTTGAACCGTAGAGAAGTATAACGTTTGTACATGGATGCCTTATGGTTGATAAAGCTCCAAAAATAAATTTTCCTACTAAATTGGAAAATCCGATAATTGAAAATAAAAATGCCGCCTGCTCTGGTTCGATTCCAATGGTGATTGCATACTCTGCAAAATGCACATACAGAATAGAATGCCCAATACAATAAAGGAAGTTGGTCATGCACATTATCATAAAATTCAAGTTCAGAAAGACACGTGCATTAAAAACCGTTGTTTCTGTACTAACATTTTTTACTGTTGTGTCGTCAGTGGCTTCAGCAACGCTTTTATATTCAATGTCATCATGCATATCATCTTTCATGCGACGTGTAGGGTCATCACTTATATTCTTAGGTCTCATAATGGCACCACAAACACATATATTGAAGGTTATAGCGGCCAAGATTAACATACACCCTCTCCAACCGAAGATGGCTGTGAGTGTGGTGATCAATGGCGGATAAAGGAACATCCCTATTCCAACTCCAGATGAAGATAATCCAACAGCCAATGTCAGGTTCTTTGAAAAGTAGACGGCTAAAACCGTTATTGTAGGAATGTAACAAATGCCAAGACCACAACCTGAAATGAAATCCACCGAAGATCAATATATACAATTAATTCAAAACAAAGAATCGATATAGAACTGTTTATCCTTATATTTTTATGCATATTTCTCTCGGTTTAGGGAAGCTAAGGCCACCACACGGTTGCCGTATATCGAAATGTGACTTTGACTCAGTGTTCAGAAAAGGAAAGTGTGGAGCTTATAATTTTATTATTTGGGAGAATTGTCATTATGTGGTAAACCTCGTCTTATAACGACAAAATCAATTTCTAAATGCATCAGTACACAATCTTACTATTTACGAGTTCGAGAATGTTATGAAAGCATAATAATTGTACAAATTCTCCTAAACTGAATGGTAGGATACCTGTTAAAAATCCAAATGTTATATATAAGTGATATATATTTGTTGAAAGGGCACTCGTGGCTAATCCTATAGCTGCCACGACGCCACCTATCATCATTGTTGTTCTATATCCTAACTTGTTGGTCAGCATGCTCGCCACTGGACCTACAATTACAAGATTGACATATCTATTCAAAATCACAAGACGATGATATGATTAAACATTATCTGAAGTTATTCATGAGGCATATTTCATATGGCATGTTCAGAAATATAGACCTTTATCCTATGCCAACTATAGTTTTAGGGACATATGTTGGTAAGGTATATCCCGTATCCTGATTTTGAGGTTTCCATATCCAGAACCTCCATATCTCCCGCCATATCTCCCGCTTCGGTGCATATCTTCCCGCTTCCGGTAATGCAGTAAAATGACTTTGCATATGAATGATTTGTTTATTTTTTACACCTTGTACTATTGAAATGGCCATATGCCCCTGAAAACTCAACTTGGTATGTGATAAAGCAGTTATGTACGGTCGGTTTGGATATAGGGTTCATCCCTCGTGAGATATGCACATCTACCTTCGGTCCCTACGGTCCCTCAGGTAGATATGCATATCTCCCTCTGGATAAACCCCATATCCAAAACCTCCTAGTACATAACCCTTATTTATATGCTCCCGATGCAGATATGCAAGACTCAAGAATAATTGTCATTTTACCTCAAGCGAACTTAATAATGAAAGGACTCGTAAGGTGTTATGCTAGCATGTGGTAAAAATCTTTTACTTTTTTGGTACTTTTGTACACTAAAAGCCTTTTGGACGTTTTTTATCAACTGCAAAGTACAATGAATGGCTCCGATTAAACTAGAGACATCTATGAATTCATGAGTTATATATTAGAATGATATATCATGTATTATTTGATAGCATGGCGTGACATCTTTAAATAGCTTCTTGTACCAGGGCCATTGATTAACATTTGCCAAATTCTCTCAAAACCATACAAAACTAGATTAAAATCAATCGGTCATTGAATGTTTAAAGGCCCCATATAAAGTTGAAACCACTTTGTCTTATATTGTAGTCCTACCCAATGTTATCAAAGTGTGATATGTGATTTTTTAATTTCAAAAAGTGGTTTTTGAAAGACTTTTTGTTCCAAAATTTTTGAATTTATTTTAAACCAACTTTTAGAGGTCACTCATATCTTCTAATTAGCCACCATTCATATCAATGCATAGTATTCATCCTCCCATGTTTTTTGCCGAAAAAATAAGAAAATCGGTTCATAAATAAGCGAGAAATGAACTAATCAGTGCATGAAAATGATTCTGAGAAAAATGCATTTCAAAATTTTAGTTCTCATAGAAACCAAGGGTACAATGATATCTAAAGCATAATTTATTCTTCCTTTTAACCTGGTTAGACAATCAACATTGGTTTTTTATGAAAGTCTAGCATATTTAGAAAAGATTGACATCAAAAAAAACTTTTCAATTTTTTTCAAAAAGTTTTTGCTACCTTAGTGACATCACTAATGTTTCAAAATATTTTTGATATGCTAAAACATTGAAGTGGCCCATTAAATATGGCATTTTATTATTGAAATAGTGTGTCCTTTGTTCAATCTTTGCATTGGTGTTAAAAAGATGATCTTTTTTGAAATGCATTAAGAAATATTTGATGGTTAAGAAATTTCAACTTTTTTGAAAAATGGCGGGAAATTTGAATATTTGAGAAATAAAATGCTCACAACTTTTTTTTCAAAATTGTTTTTTGTTCAAAAATCTCTAAAATCACTTTTTAAGTCCTGACAAATAGTAAATGAATGATAAAAAAATATTTTCAAACTTTAGACGGGGACTTTAACTGACAGTTGACAAGATGATTTAATGACTAGCTTAATGCTTGGTTTACTATTTTGAATCACGGTGAAAAGCGCTTGTCCTTTGTATGCATGAATATATCATTTTAAAAGAATTTAATGTTTTGAGTAGTTTCTCGGTCAGTGAGTGTACATTTTTCATTTGGCATGAGCAACATTGAAAACGACAGAAATAATTAGCTTTTAGATTCAATGCATCCTTCAAGATCGGACATTCACTGTCCAAGGTAAAAGATAAAAGTTGGCCCTTTGTCGTAGATCCTAACCTTAACTGCCGAGTTTAACTTTCACAGCCCCCCCCCCCCCTAGATCTGTTCTAGATCTAGTTAAGACCATTTGACTCCTTTCACTACATTCTACATCTATTATAAGGTTTTCCAATCCCCAATGACCAGATTTTCCTTTAACAATTTACATTGTATGTCATTTTACAGTATTAACTGCTCTTTCTTTACCAGGTAACAAATACATTATGGTATCAAAACACAATGAGTAAGAGCAGTAGACAATGCAAATAGCCATATAACGTCTTACATCTTTTGTTTTCGTCAGTAAATTATTCAATGCATGATGCATGATGCATTGAATAATTTAACGAGAATCACTAATATATAGAATATAAGAAGGAACTGATATCTCTAAAAATTCGATTTGACATGTTTCTAGCAAAAATGCCATACACCTTGTTACTTGAACAAGAAGTATATAGCATCCAGGCGGGTAGAACTGCAGACCTGGTCACATGACTAATATTCGTACTAGGAACAGATTAATTGGCAACATTTTCTAGGAACGTACATTTAATAGGAACGAACATTCCCAATTAGAATTCTCTGTTCAAATCATTGGTGAAATGTTTCTAGTTGAAAGAAAAACTGACCATATTTCTGTTCCTTACAAGAATTTGAGCTAAAGAGCATTTTCACGGTGATTTTTAGATATTACAGGTACAGTGTGCCTTATGGACTGATTGACAATAATAATGATAATTTTGCTTTTGATTTGAACCCACCAGCAGTGGGAGGCATCAAAGATAGTATTACACACAGAAATTGACATACATGTAAATAAGCTTCTTGAATACAATTAATTCATTGTTTTTGGCGCTACCTAATGAAATTATTAACAAATCTAAGCTTATTGAAGTTTATAATGACTATTTGAGAACTTTAATTAATTTTTTTCTTTACCCCATTCAAAACTGTATGAAATGCTTGCACATTCTAGAAAAAAGCCTTTTCAGAAAACAAAATTTCTCAATATTAACTTTTACATCCAAAGAAACAAACCTAAAAGGTTAATGTAAATATTTCATTTTGACACATACACAATAAAGATATGGAACGCATTAATTTATCCCAAGCGTTACATGGCAAGAATGCAATAAGTTAGCCTGCATGCAGAGTCTAGTTATAAACTACCAAAGCTCTTTTAGAAGCCAAGTCAAACGAATGCAAAGGGTAGTAATAAGTAAAATCCCTGCTTATTTGACTATTAAGCGGTTCCGTCAAAATCGTATAAATACAGTGATACAATCGCTTGTAATTGTGGACATTCTGATTTTAACTAATTTATCTATGACCCCGCCCCCCCCCCCCCATAAACATGTCAGGTAATTGGAGAATAAAAGCTTGCAATGTTTTCCAACGTCACCGTGAACGAAAAGTACATGATTCAATATAGTAATACGCGCATACAAAACAAGCGCTGTTTAGTCTATTTCAGATATACCAGTTTAGCTTCAGTTTCGTGTTTAGAAGGGGAATTTTGCAACTCTACGTTCACCCCGGAATAGCCTGACAACGGTAAAGTCAGATACCGTTGTCACAAATGGCGGACATAACCGTCGCTTCAATTAGATTTTCATGAACTGTATGTTTGATAGAGCACCTAGACTAAATTCCTTCAGAACAACAATCAATCAAAGTGTCTTAATAATACTCATTCTCCAGTTAATAATGTTCTTTAACCGATCAAAATGCGATACGGGACAACGGACACTGTAATTACCATATGCCGTTGTCTTTCTAAATTACTCAAATTCAGATTCCGTTATCATTGACGATATCGAAGACGCTATATGGTGGCGATTCACGATCCAATTTGATCGAAAATGGGATTTCATATGAAACATTACATTATCACAAGAGCTTAAGTACACAGAATTAGCGACGATAAAATCCCATGAAATGAGGAAGTGATTAAACAGTTGAAGCGTCGATTATGTCCGCCATTTGTGAGAACGGTATCTGACTTTATCGTTATCAGGCTATTCCGGTGTGACGTTGGTGTCAACGGAATAATCATACTCATGTCTGTTGAATATTATCGTGGCAGTTTTGACATAGATGCCCAGCATAATGCTTTCTGAAGTAAAAGATGTATATCATATATGTCTTGGCTTCAAACATGCAAATAGCTCACGAAACGAGATTGTTTAAAATATCGACCCATTATTTTCACATTGTTACAATTGCATTTAGCTGTTATTGAGAAATCAGAGGTTGGAGATTTGGGATTTCATAACTTTTGAGCTGTAATTTTTAAAAACTTGTTTTCCCCGAATTTTTATTCACTTCCATTTTTGACTGGTAGTAATTGAATGAACTTTTATTTTTGTTACAAAATAATGTCAAATCTGCTTTTTTGTTTGTACTACATGTATAGTGTCATGATTCATGTTTATCTCCTTTGTTAATTTCTTGCAAAGTACCATGTGTATGGTATACTATAGTAAGTCATTTCCCATTATTTCCACATTGTTATAACTATTAGTCACATGATCAAAATTATGTGGCTCAGTAGCCTACCCAAAAATTCCTCATTTTTGCACTTACAGCAATGGCACTGGAGATTTCCAAAAGGAGATGAGTTCCATTGATATTCCTCGTGAAAAATGTGTTATAACAATGTGGAAATAATGGGACGATATGTATCATAGAAAACCAGCTATAAAACTATCAATGGCATATTTCACGATGATGTGTCTTAGTAATGAACTACGTAAAAACTTAATTCGAAACAATTATTGAAGTGAGAAAACTACATACATTTGTATATGGGTGATTTACACGCATAGGTTGCCGTTACGATTTTATCTGCAAGCTTAAAACGAGTAAGTATATTTAATAGTCAACTTCTTCATTTGACAAAGAAAGAAAACAATATTTTAGGAGGGAAAGTCTCAAAGAATCACCCCTGAAGGTTTCAGGGGTGATGCCTTAAGGGCATTTTCATGCCAAATTATCACTTTTCAAAGTATTAGAGGCCCAATCAATTTTTCCCTCCTAGTAACCCAACAATCCAACGTGTACCAACCAGTATATCTGAAACGAATGCTGAAACTAATATACCTCAATACAGAGATATATTAGTATGCAGCTTCTACTGACGTATCCCATCTGTATACTTTGTTAGTATTGTTTTTTATGGCTAATGTGCACTTTAGACTAAACTAGTTAATATATCCGGTAATGGTAGCTTACCTATCCCGTACATACATGCAGTGTTTATTGACCCCGTCCAGGCTGTCTTCCCTTTAGATTGCTGAAAAGCTCCTAGAAAGAGGACGAAAAATACTCCCACCGACCAGCTGATTCCGTGCATCAATACATTAGAACACAGCGATCCAAGTACAACCAGCCAACTGTAGTTAGCATTGCTTTTGGCCTTTCTTGTCCACCCGCACCCAGCAGCCATCCTGTTGCTTGCCTGATATTCTTAGTCTTACAGAGTTCTTTAGTTTTAGTGTGATGTTATTGTCATTGTCCTCGTGTTACCTACACTGCTTTTAGTCGAATACAAGTGTTTATTCTATAGATTAGCGTTACACTTATTCAAATGATCGCATCTCCATATATTACATGTAAACCATCATGTGTGAGGCAAGCAGGCGAGGCGATTGCCTCACCAATGTTTTGTACAAAAATATATTAATGTTGTACAAAAATATATTAATGTTGTACAAAAATATATTTAATGTTTTCAACTTAAACTGCAGAGATGACGTCTAGAGGTAGATGTGTACTTTATCAAGCCTTAACCTCATTTATTTACATTTGCATTTGCCTCATCTAATCTGACTACGTCCCTGTATAAGGACTTAGATTATATAACAATGTGTGTAGATTATTGCTGTTGCCTGTAATTACATTGTACAAACGTTAAGTATAAAAGCCATTGTTGTGTGTATTGGCTGATACATATATCCAAAGAGCTTCAAAGTGCAGTTATCCACATAGACTTTGTATGGTATAATCAAACATGTTAAAGTATCAGCTGTTTACTTCGTCGCAATTCGGTAACACTGGCAGCTGTTATCGCGGTCACTTTGCCTTGGCACTAACTTTGTATATCTTTCTAAACATACATCATGTAACATCCTCGTGTAACATCCTCTTGGTATATTCACCTAATAATACTTGCGATTTTGTTAAGATCCGGGTGAAATGACCTTGAGCAAGCGAGGCTAATGTCACAAGGCCTGTAAATCTGGTGAATAAATATCTAGCATTCCGTGACCAGGGATTGTAATACCGGTTCATAAACACTTAGTATAACTATGTCAAGGGTTTCATATTATGCCGACTCTAACGCATTTGGACTACATATTAAAAAAATATTGATCCAGCGCAAAATAAATGAATACAAATACTGAATTCTGTTAATGACCCCCAGATATTCAACTCCACAGAATTCAGTATTTATAACATGTCAAAATAAAAACGGTATTTTTGTAATCAATGGTAAAATATGATATTTTTGACAAATTTTCACTTTACCATAGCATACGGTGTTTAAGCCATGACATTCGGCGCCGTATGCTATGAATTATGGATTTTTGCTACATGTGCTTCAGACTCAAAACGAGGCTAAGTGTCAACATCGCGGATCCGAAAATTCGAATAAAATTTCTTAATTTCCGACTATTCTTATGATGACTTTAACTTTGGAATAAAAAGAACATCCTATGATTTACTCGTGATATGGCACTCATGGATGTTGATATCTGCACTCTCTCGCTACGCTCGCTTGATCAGATATCGTATCCATTCGTGGATAAAAATCATATCACTCATAAATCATAGAATATCCTCTATTTATTCCATAGTTATTCATAGGATAACATGACAGGTTAAATAAATAAAAATTCAAAGGTAAAGAGGCTTTAACACGTAGTTCAATGGGGAAAAAAGGTTGCCAAATTTATGGAGGGGAGTGTATCCCAAAACCATAATCTAACGTGAAAAGAAACAATGTCTAACATCCCCCTCCCCCTCCAATCGAGAACCAATATCACAATCCAGGACCAGAATACCAATTTGAATACCATTTGAAACAGTGTTTTTGTTGTATTTTCTATCTATGTTTTGTTTTGTTTTGTTCATCATTGTATTATTGCTGCCATAGTGTATTCTTTTATATATTGATGCCATTGCTACATATCAGAAATATGTTATGTCATTAACCAGTATAATGAAAGAAATATTATACAAGTGCCTAGAAGAATGGTCCCTGGTCATGAGTAGGAAAGTCAATATTGCATCTCCACAATGCACCAATTCACAAAGCAAAAAACAAACCTTTCTATACAATGCCCCATATTCACCTGATGAAGCCTCTTAAGACCTCTACCTTAATGACCATTTCAATTCAGTGGCGTAGGAACAATGTACGCCAAAACGCCAGTGCGTAGTGTTGAAAAGTGAGAATAAAAAGGCTTATTAATTTTCCTATGTTCTTTATTCATAGTTTCTCATTGTATTGTGCAAAAGTAATCTCGAGCACACTAGCCTAAAGAAATGTTTTGTGGATACCATATGATATGCTCGTTTTTTTTCAATAGTACTCTTTTGCATGGTTTTTGTGCCTCTGTTATTTTTCTAACCTGGGCCACAGATAAATGACACTTTTTGAAAAATAAAATATTGAAAGTTACCTTGTTTCTATAGTTCTAATACTGTAGAAAATGCATTTAGTAACATGCTTTATCCCACGATTAATGTGTTATCTGTACAATAACAGCTATTGATATTTCTGATATTATTGAAATCCGTGTGATATTTTCCAGAAAATCGTTTATCAAACTCATATGCGTGTGATATCGTTTATCTCACGCATATCCGTGTGATATCACATTTGCATTTCGCGCCACAATATTGTTGGAAATTAGGTCAGATAATGTATTCTCTTTTGAGAAAATAGGTCCGTTAATTTATTCTCTTTAAGTTTCATTGGTGTATTGAATTACGATTGTGTATATAATTCGATTAGAAGGCTGCTTTAATAATAACGATTAAAAATGGTATTTATGACGAACTATATCATGTACAGAAAGTGGTGCATATTACTGCGCAGTGAGTTAAGTACAAATCAAAATGGCCGGTGCAAATTCGTCAAATTTGGCGAATTGTAATCATGGGATAAACCCAATATCACATAATTTCTCGTGATATCATTTTATCGCCTCGTAGAGGCTATGCGTGAATCTACCTATACGTATGACCAATCGCCCATACAAATGCATCGCTTAAACATTTCCGTTCACATTTAGGTTATGAAAACATTGCATTCTATTGCAGGTGAGAGGTGGTGAGAATATTGTTGTCATTCTGAACTATCGCGTACACCTCTATTAATACTAACTCTTCTACGAGCTTGTATTTGTATTTTATTTTCAGAAGATATAAAACAATAAACAAGGATGTGTACAGAAGTAAAATTATATAATCAGTGGTCCATCCTGTAAATGAAACATGTTCACCTTTCTGTACGATTTTGATTTATGGAGTTCACCTCTGTATGATATCTTTGGAACCAGCTTCAAATACAAAGACCAATGCACCAGTTTAATTGTTGATTTGTAAAGATGCTATGCTACTTTGAGCATCAATATTATGTGTTGCCTTTCATGTTTGTGCAAATAGATAAACATGAATGATATTCTAATATTAACTACAGATCCAGAATGCCTCTTCGTGTCAGATCTTCGTGTTTTACATTGAACAATACAATGTAAAGCATTTTTACTGGCTCAGCACAATTCTTTTCTCCAGACTGATTTTAAGTACACTAAACTGCAACAATATAAATCATTTATTTTCAGATTCACTTTAAACTTCAGGCTCATTAGGTTATGTACAGTACCAGGTATCTTGTCAATTAAATGATGTTCCTTCATTCTCCTTACAAAGGCATTATGCCTTGGTGTCCAAATAAATTTCTTTCTTCTCGTGTCATCTGTAAATCAAGTGTATTTCCATTGGTAACTGAATCCAGGAATATATGCCAGTCATCTTAGCTGTTGACTGAAAAACAACAAACAAAAATTATATGCATTTCGTGCAATTACATGTTCAAGATTTCGTACTGAAATTCCCTGCAATCTAATTGTTCCATGAGACTTAAATATATCTTGTATTTACACACACTTTCACTTTCGATGCGGGAAATACAGACACTGGGGACTAACCCAACCAAATCCTATAACATGCGTCTTCCAATCTAAATGATTTGTCTTTCAGAGAAAACTTAGATTTGTGGACATGTTTTGCTATCATGCCATCATACCCCAGTATGTCCTCTGTCAGTCAAAAAAGTTTGAACCAAAACTCCCCACGAAAATCAAAAGATCTCACCTGTTGAATACGCCATCTATAGAAAAATGTCAAAAATTGTCACTCTGATTTGGACAGATGGTGAGGCAGGTCAAAAAGGTCAAAAAAGAAAATGCCCTCAATCACATCAAATCATGTGTTAGAGTTGGTCCATACATACACATTTTCATTCATGTACTTACCAAAATCCAACCACTGGTGGTGCTTATATAATTACAATAATTGGACTATATTCTTGTTTTTAAAATGCCATCTATCGGAAGGATAAATAAGTTGTGTGTCCCCCGGGCCGTATCCCAACGCTGACGTCAAGTGGAAAGTTCGTGTAAATACAAGATATATTAAGTCTTATGGACCAATTAAATTGCAGGGAAATTCACGTTCATTGAATAAAATATAATGCAATACATATACTTAGCTTGCAGAAGTGTCTCAAGGGAAAAATATTGTAGGAAACGCCCACACATCCTTCGAGAAATTCGATTCATTCGCACACACATCATTTTTTTGAGACACAAAAGTGCGAATTTCTCTTTAACCGGGAATCGCATGAATGGGATATTTGGAGAATTTAATCGTCTTTAGACATTGATGGTACGGGACAAGTTTCACAGATCTAGATACATTGCCTAAAACCATGTTAAAAATTAAACTATCATTATAAACCTGAAGTGGAAAGAATCGCGAACGGTTTGCCCACCCATCATCCATAAGGTCAAGTGACAGACTATACAGTGTATAGGGTGAGCACAGAAGAAGTGAGTAGCTCCCATAATACTATCATATTCTTTCGTATTCGTGCAAGGAGGATTGGCTCCCAGAGTGCACCACCGATATTCTGTCCCATATATGGTAGCGTGACCTTTGACCTTGTTGACACGTGACAGGTTTGAAACCATTTTGAAACCTGTGAGGTCAAAGGTCACCGCTACCATATATGGGACAGAATATCGGTGGTGCATTCTGGGAGCCAATCCTCCTTGGTATTCGTGGATTCCCCTTAGCCATCCTATATGGTCATACAAACCTTATATGGATCTATCACATGATATTCAAAATGGCGGACAACTTCCTATACATGTATGGTCATACAAACCTTATATGGACATTTTATAAAAAACGATTTTGAAAATATCAACATTATACACTTTACACATCAATTCCCCATAAC